AACATAAAACGTCAGAAACACTAAATTTTACGGAACAAATGTCAGAAGGAAGCTGCATCCAGGATTTTTTTAAAAATTGAAAATGGGCGTGGTGACGCCCACTTATGGACCAAAAACCATATCTCAGGAACTACTCGACCGATTTCAATGAAATTCGGTATATAATATTTTCTTAACACCGTGATGMCATGTACCAAATATGGGTGAAATCGGTTCACAGCCACGCCTGAAATCTCGATTATCACTTTATCATGCGAGAGTATAAAATGTTCGGTGACACGCGAACTTAGCCTCCTTACTTGTTTTTTTTAATTTGGGATTTGATATTTTCGATTATTCGATAAGAAATTACTCCACCATGATACTAAACCGTATGAAGACAACTATATTTAATATTATACTCTTTATGTTTCAAGTGAATGTTTATTTCTGCTCTCAAAAACTATTTCTGAATCCGCCTCTTTCTTAATAAACAACTCGTTAATGGTCATTATTACAAAAATAGAATTATATCAAGCATAAAATTGAGTTACACATACAAAGAAATATAATTTGCTATTATTTATTGCATACCCTTGAGCATCAACCCTTAAGTTAATCAACACAGCAACGTCGCAAAAAATGAGCGCCAAACGGTTTTGCGCAGTTGAACCGTTTCGTTGCAACGCCAAACCGGCTGGGAGCCAATGCGAGAGTGAGCGCATTGCGCACGCGCACAGACACTACAAACATACCGGAGCGCTGAGCGCCAAGCCAAGTTAATAAGCCAGGCAGGCAATATGTTTGTTAGGCATTTAAGCACGCGCAGTGGGTTGCCATGCATGACCGACACTTGTGCACCAGGCACAAGAGATTCGACGACACAGAAGTAAAACGGCAGTGCGCCACTACAGACGTGTTTAACGGTGCAGCGGTAGATTTAAGTAGAAATTTCTATGCGCAGAAAAAGAAAAAAAGTGTTGTTTGTGTAAGTGAAGTGAAGAATTGAATTGGACGTGCGACACGGGACATTTGTGGCTGCGCATTGCACGACTCAAAGCATTTTGATTGTTGTTAACAAATTAACGGTAAACTTGTGGTGGGCGCATGCGCCAACACAAACAAAGTGGCTTGCGCAGGAGAAATGCCTTAAACGCGCCAACGTGACGAAAATGTTTTAAACTTGTGTATAAAGTAAATTCCAATATCACTTACCGTGCGTCACAACAAAAACAATGCACATATGTGCAGTGAAAATAAATTGAAAGTAAAAAGTGCAAAGAAAGTGTGCATATTGCTAAGAAGCCAATAGCGTGTAAGTGCGTGAGTGACGGTACAAGGCGCAGAACGTGTATATCTGTTTTTAAAACCCCCTAAATCACGACAACAACAACAASAAGAATTTGTGATAATTGTAGTAAAATATTTAGTCATAATCCCTGAACGCAAAATATTGAAAATGGTGCTTGGTTTTGGTCTTGGCGCCGCTGCCGGTGCCATATTCAAGGCAAGCGCGGGCTCAAAAGCCGCCGTCACTGCCGGCGCCGCTGCAGTGGGCGCCTCCAAGTTGGGTATAGCTATTGCAGGCGCTATCAAAATTGCCACCACCATTATTGGTGTAAGTAAGCTGGCCATCCTGCCGTTTTTGATAGCCGCTATTGCCTACTACAATTACGATCTTTTCGATCCGGAAAATCGTCCGTTCAATGTGCCTCAGGTCTCATTGGCCTATGATTTCATCATCGTGGGTGGCGGTTCGGCAGGTTGTGTGTTAGCTTCGCGGCTCTCTGAAGTGCCGCATTGGCGCATTCTGCTGCTCGAAGCGGGCGGTCAGGAAACAGAGATCTCGGATGTGCCGCTGCTGTCTTTGTACTTGCATAAAAGCAAACTGGATTGGAAATATCGGTAAGTGTTAGTCAAGAGTAGTTAGAAAAAGAAACAGTCGCGAATGAAAAGAAAAAATTAAGTGTGAAGAAACCTGTACCAAGTGCGGGTGGGCTTTAAAGTATAATCTAAAACACATATAAGGATAATTTTTTTCAAAATAGATGGTGTGTTGTGATGGTTAGTATTTGTATACCAACGAGTTTCTAGTTAAACATCTGGTTTATTATGAATAGCGTATTCTTAAAAGAAAAGTGATGAGCCTTCCACATAGAATCACATTAGATCGGGCAACTATAGCATCTAGCTGCCATACATAGAAACTGACCGATCATACAACGGTATGGAAACATTTTTTAGTATACGAGATCTAAGGCATTGCTAAAATTACAGGATAATTGTTCAAATCGGACAACTGTAGCATATAGCTGCCTACAAACTGACCGATCCAAATCAAATCCTTGAAAATTAAAATAACCGTTTTTATTCCGGAAAATATATCAATCATATCAAATTCAGTAGAAAATAGTTTTAGTCAATTTATACCGTAAGCCTGTAAACGCATTAGACATATTTTTGCAGAAATTTACGACAAATGCGATGCAAAGTATTAAATTTTTTTTTTTTTAATAATATGCCTATAATAAAATATTTCTATCATATTTCTCAACTGATTAAAGAAATATTTTATACCTATACATTCATCAAATTGAACAACGTAATATTTTGAAATTATCATCTCGCACGAAATGCCATTTAAATGCAATCAGCTATTTTTTCCTTGTCACAATTGAATTGAAAGTAAAAGCAAGCAGAGAAAATATTCCGCCTGAGTTGGATTTTTTTTATTTTCACTCTCGTTTTCTAGCAGATACAAAAAGCTAATCTGCGCAAACGGCACATTTCTCGTTGATGCTTCGTACACGAGCGCAAAGCCGGACGAGTTAAAAAAGATAGAAAAAAGACAGCAGGCGTCTAAAGTGACACTAACGCGGCAAATCACAGTGCTGATAGTGATGATGGTGTTGTTTTTGTTGTTATTAATATTAATTTTTATGCGGCACAAATTGAGCACTTTACCATAAAAACCAATCAGCATTAAAAAATAAAAGAACCGTGTGCAGATGACAAAACAAAACGAAAGTTGGTCAACAAAATATGTAAACAATGACTTGAAGATTATAGTTGTTAAAAAATATGTTTAGTTTATGCAGAGAATTAGATAAAAATTGAATAATGCTTTGCCAAACTTTCTTTACATTACTGTGGAACATCGGCCTAAGTTATCATATTCAGCAACTCTTTGCAAAATTTCAGGGATTAAATTTCTTTGTAACATTTTGAGCTCTTAGCTGCTCAACCGATGTGCATTTTTGATACTTTCCTAAAATCTTATGCAAATGGTAAAAAAATACATTAAAGTGGAACGATAAAAAAAAAAATGTTTCGATTCACATAGTTTATGTACTTAAATTTGTCAATATATAAATAAAGGAATAAAAAAATTTCATCACATCAAAGCTTTGGGTGAAATAAAAAATGCCTGCAATAAGTCAGAAAGCATTTCGAGTTAATTTCAACCGATTTGGCAACGGTTTTTCCCCTAAACAACCAATGTAATAAGTTCATTATCATCTAAACATTGTTTAATCAACTCTGCAACTCTAATAAATGTAACGAGGGCGCTTGTGTTGTCGAAGATAGATTACGGCCTTCCTATCTATGGTAACTGCGCGAAAATCCACATCAAAACACTGTACTCTCCGCACCACATGACAATAAGCAGAAGCATTCGCGCATTTCCAAAATCGTCCTAGTG